TGGGATACTTTTTTCATTTTCCTAGAGTTTTTATAACAAAAGTATTAAAGTGTAATGCGACTATAAACATTAAGGCAATCAAGGGTTGAAATCAAATGTGAAATAGAAGGTTTTTATTTTTTATTTTTGGCGGTAAACAAAAAATTCTTAAATTCGCGCCACATTGATTTTACCTAAAAATTATTTTAACCTAAAAAATTCTTATGTTTTACAAATATCACGTGTTATTTGTGATTTCCATCATCCGCGGAATCTTAAAAAAAAATTCATTTATTTTAGAAAGGGTTTCCTAGAATGGGTAACAATCCAATTCCTTTGTCATGCTTTATTGTGATTATATTTTTTAAACCTTCCATTTATATTATTTTTGTGACTTAAATATGCTTGGAAAAAAAATTTTTTTCATACTCTCTTGCATAAATCAAGTATTTAAGGTTCAATTTCACGTGATTTACATTTTTGCGCCACCGCAGTATATTAGATGTCACTAACCAATCAAAATTCACTTTAACTCATCTCTCTTATTCAAAAAAATGCAAGCCCCCTATACCAAATGCCGGATACAAATAAATTTGTTGTCCGATTTTATTATTATATGAACAAAGGAAGGTTCATTGATTGAATTAATAAAATTTAAGGTTTAAATAAACAAAGATACGGATATTTATTTTTAATTTTTTTTTTTCGAAATTTTACGTAAACGAAAATTAAAATTTAGAAACAAGAAAGGATTCCAGTTTTTTATGCAAATTTAATTTTGTTCTTTCCTTTTTTAAAGTGTGGGGTGTGATGTGATGTTACTATTTATTGTATTGTCATGTTAGTTTTTTTGTTGTACATGCTTGACGGAGGGTTGGTGACTCCAAGGCTTATTGAATATCTAAATTTTTTTTATTTTCTCATACTTATTTTAATGGTTACTAATCATAAAAATAGTACGGAGTATTGTACGCGATCTTTTTATCTATTATGTTGTAATTGCGTGATTTACATGTTAAATTTGGGTTCTTTCAATTCCAAGTATTTTACACATCATTTCGCTTTTGTACGATCGTAAAAAAAAATGTTCTTTGTGGAGTAAACAAGTTTTTAAGATATGACATTTTTTTTTCAATGCATTAGTAGATGCAATAGAAAAGTACTTTAATGATTTGAGTTAGATAGATTAAATTGATGATTACGGGATGTGATGAATTCAATTGAAATTTTCAATAGAATTCAAACAATGCATATTCATTTAATGTTTCGCTTTTTTATATTTGTTGATGTTTTCTCAGAGAAAAAGGATGATATATTAAATTTATTAAATTTATTACATTTATTACATTTGAAAACGTTTTACCTTATCTTACTTCAATTGAACCTGAATCTCTTTTTTTTTTTTGATTGAAACTTTTGAAAAGAATTAATTATAAAATAACGATTGTTCAATTTCATGTATAATTACAACAACGAAATCTTTATGGATCTAGGTCAATTTAAAAAAGAAGTTGTAAAAAAGAAGCTGTTTGAAAGTGTGACACAAAATTGTGAAATATATGGTCATATTACTTTTTTAAAAGTCCGATATTATTTTACTTTATTTATTAAAATCATTTTAAATTCAACTCCCTCAGTGACAATTTAAAAAAAATAAATATGTACTTTTTTTTTTACAATAATAAATAATAATAAATACTTAGAACGCTAAAACCAATTTATTATTATTATTCATCGCATTCCATATTTAGGCTTATAATCCGGTTCATGCATATTATACGCATTCCATATTTAGGCTTATAATCCGGTTCATGCATATTATACACACAAATAAATATATATTACAAAATAAAAATAAAATGAAACACTAATTATCGATAATGAATAATGAGAATATGGGATATATTAAAACAAAATGGGTTTTTTTTATTTTAATTTTTTTTTGTAACAAATAAATAAATAAATAAAAGGAAAATTTTTTTTTAAAAATCATGTGTAAAAAAAGAAAGTAAAAACACAAAATTGGCGTATTTTTTTACCGCATATCTTTTTGATTAGAGAAACGGATCAGAATAATATAATATGATATACGATAATCATGACTTGAAAAGAATTTCATGCATAATTTACTAAAGTATTAAAGGTATAAAGTTTAACAATGAAAATTAACGTAATATATTTAATAAACGTAATATGTATATATTTATATCTCAGCTCGATGATCTTTAACACATGAAAATTTATCATTATATCTATGAAAAAACCTACCGAAAATCATTAATTATCATTATCTTTTATCATTATCTAATTCGAAAAAATTTCTCAGGTTTTTAAGAAATACGCCATTTTGTACGAAGTTTGTACAAAGTACGAAGTTTGTACGAAGTAAAAATATATATATATATTTTTTAAAAAAAATCTAAATTAAAAATAACTGGAATACTGGATACACCAGTTAATCTTTAAATCGTTTAAAAGAATTAGGAATTTTAGATGAAATTTGTAAATCTTTACGTATTTTATATATAATTATTTTTTGCCAAAAGATAATAAATTATGGAAATCATTTAATAATCAAAATACGAGGTTAATCAAAAAAATCGGAAAAAAAAAAACGACTTCGGGTATGTCCTTGAGTTGTGATGAGGCTCGGCCCTTGATTTACATCTCTTTACCTAGAAAAGGGATCAAATTTAAAGGGGGTCGTTATTATATATGCACTAACCTAAATTCCTTGTTGCTCCAAATATTTAATGGTTCACGTTCGTAATACAAACGAAAAAAAAAAACGAAAATAATTGTCGGTTATAATGTAATAAATCACACCCTCTCACTCATAAACCTAATGAAAATTGTACGCTTGGCTATACTCGGAAGATTAACATAAACCCTAATTAATCTCCACAAAAAAAATCTTCAAAATTGATTAAAAAAAGATTAGTAATTTCGTAACTCCTTTCTTATTACATTCATAATCTCGTGAATAACGACGGTTTTAATTAATTTAATAATAATTCCCTTTTTTCTTTTTAATTTTCTCACATTAAGAAGAAAAAATTTTTTTAATCGTCATAATACATTAAATTTCTTACGCGATAAAAATAAAAGAACTTCTTTTTTTGTCAAAGTACATTATTTTTCATAATAATGAATTTACTTCTTGCATTTTTGCATTATTCTTAAATGAACAAGAATTAGGGAAATGGGAACAAAGATTCTAATGTGGGGTGCATTCGTTGTTTTGTCATAGCTTACATTTAATGTGTATTGTGTATTGATGTTATTAATGTATACTTTTATATCTTTTTTTTTTTTTTTTTTT